TTGTACAGCAGAGACAGGGTTAATGAAGTCTTGCTGAGGTGGAGCCCTGTTTCTGAGGCACCTGGATGCTAATATTAGAGGAGTATTTAGCCTGGCCGGTGTGGCTCAGAGGCTGAGTGTCGACCCTGCACCAAGAGGGTGTCAGTTCGATTCCCGGTCAGGGCACGTGCCCAGGTTGTGGGCCTCACCCTCCGTGGGGGCATGCAGGAGACAGCCAATGGATGTTCTCCCTCATCCATGTTTCTATCTCTCTCTCCCTCTCCCTTCCTCTCTCACTAAAAGCAATAAACAAAAAAAAATATTGTAAAAAGAAGAGTATTTAAATGTTGGTCACACTGAACCCATCTTTATACCCTCAAAGCATAGAGAAGACCAGTTAATGATGCTGGTACATATTCTTAAGGTCTTCGCTGATACATTGTCTATGCTAGTTGGCACGAAAGGTGTTTCTTCCAGCCATTTATTCCTTAAAGTCGAAGCGCCAGTCTATACACAACAAACATGTTTGGAACTTACACACGGGTCTTGGTCCTGGTAAGATAACTTCATGTAGTCATAGCCAAAATGTGATTTAGGTAATATCTTTTATCTTTCTTTATATGGAAGTATAATTCACGCTACAGCTTTTTGGAAATGTACATTGTATTGGAAACCAGAGACCAGATTAGAACTTATTTCCATACATTTGTTCCCATAACTGAGTCCAAGTCGAAGAGGGAAGGACACAGAATGAGAATCGTTGCCTTGCGAGGAGGTTGTGCGTCTGTGTACAGACCAGTCAGCAGTCTCCAGGCTGGTTTTCCCATTAGGCAGACGCTGGAGGCAGAGGGGAAGGGCAGGGCTCGGCAGGCTGCCGCCTACTCTTACTGTCACTCACCGGACCTGTGAATGCTTTTCTTTTTTTAAGTAAAGCTACATAGTGACAGTGCAAATTAGTTACCATTTGTCAGGACTTTTAAAAATGTCTGTGGTAATACACTCTATTTAGAAAAAAAAAATCAATAACATAATAGCACAATTTCTCATTTATAGAAACATTGATCTCACGCACATTGCTGCCCCTCAGGAGAGGACATATACATTTTCAATCAAGATATTTTAGATTCATTTTTCAGTTCTATGATCTCAGTTATATTATTTCAATCGATCGTTATCTAAGTAGTTAATTGGGCTTTGTAAAAGAAAAAGTGAATTTTAATTTTGTCTTCATACATTGGCTAGAATATCAGCAGATAATATAACCACCTTTGTTTGCAGTGTTCTGCTTGTGTATGGAAACTTGCAAATGAGTGACATATATTCCTGTTTTTCAAATCATTCACTTAAAGTAGCTTTCAACAGCTCTTTCTCTGACTGGAGCTGGTCCCCTGTCAGAGGTCTCTGGGCTGCGTGTACAATTCAGAGGCCTCCATTCAAATCCCCGTGAACGGCTTCTGCACATAATTTCCTTTTGCCTTGGTTTATAGACTCCTTCAGAGCGGAGTCTACGTTTTGCCAGTCTCTCGGTTTTTGGCACTTAGAAAGAGGTGGTCCGAATGCAATCTTACAGACTGTGAGCACCGCGTGCAGGGCCTCCGCCTCCTTCTCTAGTGCACCTTCAGGGCTACGGTAACCCCTGGCAAAGGCTGGTACTAATGACACGGCCGAAACGAAAGAGGAAGAAATGCACACGTTTCAGAGCTGAAGTACAGGTAGCTTAAGTGATTTGCCTAAAATCACCGACATTTTGGGGGTGGAGGCCATTCTGGAATGCATGTCCCTAAATTCAATTCTGCCAGCTTCTCCCTCTGCTAGTCGGCTGTCTGGGTGAGTTAGGATGGATAAACTATGCCCTTTGGTGGGTGACAAATGAGAACACATGCCTCTGGAGGGGAACTGGAGGGTCACACACCAGCGCTTTAATGCTCAGGCTTACAAGTGAAAGATGACACAGCCCTTCAGAGACACTTGACCACAACTCTCACCGGGCCCTTCTGAACTGGAAGAGGGCTGGGAAATTTGCATAGTGTGGTGATTTGGTTACTAGTCAGCATCCCTGCCACATGGTCTCAAATGAAAATAAATTGGGTAGTTATTTAGATTTTCCAATTGAATCTTTTATTTCCTCTACATAGATTTTTTTTTTTTTTATCCTCACCTGAGGATATTTTTCCATTTTTTGTACAGATAGAGTGGGAGGGAGAGAGAGGAAGGAGACAGAGAGAGAAACATCGACGTGAAGGGACACATCAAGTGGCTGCCACCCGCACGGCCAACCAGGGCCGGGGACAAACTGCAACCGAAGTACGTGCCCTTAGCGGGGACCGAACCCGGGTCTCTCCGGACCGCAGGCCGACGCTCTAACCGCCTAGCCAAACTGGCCAGGGCTCCTCTACATAGATTTTAGTAATTAAACCCTCTGGACATTTTATATCTCTTTTTCTCTAATATTCATTATAGTAGGTTTCATACATCTTATTTTCTTTCTGGAATGCATTGTTATCTTATTTATATAGAACTGAAGAGCATTAGAAGATCATTAATTTGGACTTTATGCATTTTTGTGTATATTGTCCATGAGTTGGTCAAGTGATTACTTGTTTTTGAAGATATAATTTGATGTACAAATTATTAAAGCAAAAACCATCCAAAAAAGAGCAATTAAAATGAATATTATAACTCCTTTACAAATAATTTTCAAATACTGTTGATCATTGCTTATTTAATTATAAACAATTGATATTCATATTATTATCAACATAGACAAGGTTGGCATAGGATCTCTGTGATATGTGAAAACATACAAGGTGATATGTGAAATCACCTGACCTCTAGAATGGCATCTCTCAGGGTGAAATAATGCACAGAGTCCTTCAAGTCACAACAAAATAAAACATATGGCCCTTGAGTTGGCTTAAAATATTTGCATTATGTTACTCAAATAAATAAAAGTATAAAACTAGAAATAAGTTTCTTGTCCTTATAGGCCTTGTACACTTCAAACAAAGACAGTTTTACAAGGAAAAGTAAAGAAATACCAAATAAACATATCTTAGTGTAAATTTATGGTGCTGGGTGTTGTTTTGCTGACATCTAATAGTTGCACACAATGTGAACACAGTGCTGTTACGGCACTGGTTACTGTCGAGTGTGCTTTAACACAACACAACCCCGTGCTATGTAACTGTGATTACGTTTTCCAAACCATTTCTCCTTTGGACTCCGGCGAAAATTTTGTACCCCATTTAATATCCCATTTAGCTTTCTTTTGGTATAAATGTTTACTGATTAGCCCACAAGCCAGAATTATTTTAAATAACACCTCGTGACACAAACACTTCAACTACAAAAACAAATCCAGACTCTGTGGTTAGGGAATTCATCTGGCCCTCGATGCACAATTTGCCATGTTGAAACCTTTCTAACTGTGGCCAGTCTTTACAAAACTGCTGGGGGGACGTGTAGACTCCCTGCGAGCAAACTTGAAGACTTCAGAGAGAAACGTGGCGCTGGGAACGTATTATTTAGCTGCAAACCCTTCCTTATTTATTCTGTAAAGTCATTCCCTAAATTACATCAGAATTAATATGCAAGTTCCCATGTGTCGTAGCTTCATTTTCTTAGGTTCTTAACATAAATATTTTGTGATATTTGTAATTTAAACCAAAAAGCATTACATCTAATTCCTTTAATAATGAACTAAGGTGATTTTAGTGTGATAACACTTGAATCATAGTCACAAATATCATGGGAATGACAAGATTTGCAAAATTAATTATATTAGACATTATCTGACTAATCTGAGATTTTTATTCAGCTAGAATTCTACAATTCAAACATTTTTTGAATGGAACAAAAGCAAACATTATAAATTCAGACCAAGAGTAATCCCATATCAAGTAGCATTTTGCAAGTCATATTTCCTACCTCACCAGTTCAAGTAACCCACCATGGTATTGATTGACTTTTAAAAAAATAACATTTAAAGAATTCTTTTAGTGAGGAATTTATAAAGACTGCAAAGGAAATTGCTGAGAGGTACTGAACCTACTTCTATGAAATAAAATGTAGATTACAAACAGTTAATATAAAAATAAATATATCAAACAAATTACCTGTTAAAGATATAATATAGTTATAACATGGATTCTGAGTTTCTCAACATAGGCCATATATGGATAACTAGCTAGTGATATATTGGAATAGATTACAATACAAATATAAATATAAATGTAATTAAAGAGGATTTAAAGTATATAGAGATAAGGATATAGATAAAATGGAAATATGGTTAAGATTTAAAATAATCTGTAAGAATATAAATCATTTAAAATACAAGATATGGAAAAGGAGGAAGACACAAGGGATTCACTCAACTTTATCATAAGTAATCTAGTATCAATGTCAAAATGACATCGCATAATTTTTAATCCAATAACCAAGAATAACTAGTATCATCAGCAGTGAACCTCTGGCTTCTCAGTGTTTGCCTTCTCAATTTGATTATTTTTTTCTTCAAATATTTTAGGGCAAAGTTTAAAGGCTACCTCCTCTTGTCATTAAGTTTTCCCTAGAAAGAATACTATCTGAAACATCATTGCACGTTATATCCACCCGAAGCACATGCCTTTGTATGTTTAATAATGCCTACAATTGCAGGTCTTGAATATAGAAAATGCTAAAACCACGTTAAACAAAGAAGTTATTCTAAGCAGTCGGGATTTTGAAAAGGACTCTGTACTCTGATTATATGTGTGCATGATTGTACGTGTACCTTTGAAATACAATGTCTCAATAGCCACAGAGTAAGATTTCTAAAAGGAGATGCTGTACCGCGTACGTCCCCAGGAACACTGCCGGTATATGGAATTTTGTTTTAGAAAAGAAACGTAACATCCGATTTTAGATCCATGGAAGCAAAGTGCAGTTCACTCCAACACCTACGGAGAGACAGTGAGACCCTCCTGCCCGAGCCTGAGAACTGCGGGAAAGTGGGGCGCCCGCGGAGGCCGCGTACTCACCACCATCTCGTTGAGCGACACCCAGCAGTCGGGGGGGAAGTCCTGCAGGAGCGGCACCAGGAACTGCAGGCAGCCGTCCCAGTGGCACAGCAGCAGCATCATGCCGATGAGGTTGAAGATTCTCACCACCGCGCTGGCCAGGTCATACGTCATGTGGAAGATCTGTGGGCCAAATATGCAGTCAATTCTCAGAATCCAATTTTTAAGCGATCAATATCACCAATGTCAGTAGTCACTGACACCATGTACTGTAAGAACCGATTTAATACAAAGATGAGGCCCAGCAGGTGTGGCTCAGTGGTTGAGCGTCAGCCCAGGCACCAAGAGGTCATTGGTTCGATTCCCGGTCAGGGCACATGCCCAGGTGGTGGGCCAAATCCCTGGTGGGGGGCGTGCAGGAGGTGGCCAATCGATGTTCTCTCTCATCGATGTTTCTCTCTCTCTCTCCCTCTCCCTTCCTTTCACTCTAAAATCAATAAAAAATCAATAAAATAAAACAAAAAGATGAGAAGGACTATTATAAAGGGAAACAGAATTACATTTCTTTATCTTTACAGGGAAGCCTGGCACGCTCCTGTATGAGAATTACAACCACCTGTGGGTTCTACACCAAGAACAGACATAACGCGGATACATTAAATGTATGGGTCGTGTTTTAAAAACACTGCTTGTGCCAGTAGTTTTCATTTACTGTTTTTTGGGGCTGTTTTAAAACAAGGTAGCAAATTTGATAAAGTGCTAGCCACCCTCATCTGTTTCTCATTCCTTGTTAAGCTGATGGACTCACTGAAGGAGCAAATAATAATAATAATAATAATAATAAGCAGCTAAGGACTAAAAACCATTAACAAGGGGAGTTTAATTGAAAAAATAAAGATTGAGAATCAGTTGCAGTTAACTTTTAGCTATATGAGAGGAGTAACTTCCTGAATGGTGTATGTTGAACAAAATAGTGACCTTTGAGATAGCAGCTCCCTGGATTGGATTAAAAAAACAGTTGTGCAATATTTAAGAAAAGTAAAATGGTTATTTCCACATATACTATTTGTATAGCACAGGCTACCCTTTCCTATGAACTTTCTTATTGATATTTTTTAGAAATTAATAAATATGGCTAAGTATGCAAAGACACACCACCTTGAGATATTTAGAATCACATTTTATATAATTCACCAAAAAGTAGTCTAATTTTGAAGTAAGGGCAACAGGTATCACAAAATTATCTGAGAAACTGAAAAAAGCCCTGAAAAATTTATATTTTGATTTAGAAACCATATCTTTGTAAGGAAACTTCTATAATTCTTAAGAGATGTCTATTGAGGTAAGCAGAGGTAAAGGGACAGGACCGTTAGTTTTACTGTTATAAAATCACAGATTGTTTCTTTAAACAATCTTCCTTTTATTTATTTTGAAAAAAATTTCTTTCCTTTAATGATTTTAGTGAGAGAGGAAGTGAGAGGGAGAGAGAGATAGAACCATCAATGAGAGAGATAGAACCATCAATGAGAGAGAACATCGACTGGCTGCCTCCTGCATGCCCCCCACTGGGGATCAGGCCCACAACCTGGGCATGTGTTCTGACTGGGAATCGAACCAGTGACCTCTTGGTACATGGGTCGATGCTCAACCACTGAGGCATACTGGCTGGACTAAACAATTTTTCTTTTTGACACAGTGAGCAAAAAATAAATCTTGCTTTGTGGAAATGTACACACTGGTCGGAATTCTTTCTAAAAGTAAATTTGAGGTCCTAGATTTAAAGGTGACAGCTCATGTACTTTGATATTCAGACAGCTATACACATAATTTATTAAGGCACTGTGAATATTATTTTCTTCTAAGTTATTTTTAAATTTGTTTTTGTATTTGACAAACCCATTGAAAAGTCCTTTTGATGTTATTTCCTGTGATATTTCTTGGCCACTGGATTTGTAAATAGAAATTGCATCAACATTTTCATCAATAATTTCTCATTAAAAGTAATACAGTAAAACATAATAAAAAAAAGGTTTCTACTATTAAAGTAGAAAAAAATCACCATGGATGTAAACATTTTTGTTTAGTAATAGAAGTCTATATTTATGCCCAAGTATTTTCTGTCAAAAAAGTTCAATATGTATTTTGGGTAAGTGTCGCACTGTGGAAAAAATAGGGTAAAGTTACAGAACATAAACTCCTGGATCCAACAAGAAACTAATTGCCTTTCAAGTTGATTCTTTGCAGCAAACACAAACTATCTGAAACGCTGCCAAATCTGTCCATTATAAGGCGACAGGCAGCAATCCCCAGTCAGCAGACTGTGGAGGGGGACTTGGGATGACAATAACAATAATAAGCTATATTATTACAGAGAACTAGTGGCATTCTTAGTAGAGTTGACTTTTATGAATTTTCTAGATTGTTTTTATTGAATTAGATTTTCTTTGTGAAATCTTAAGGGATTACTTAGTGAATTAAGGATAACATATGCTTTTAGTAATTACTTCAGGTAAACCCTATTACTTCTGAAATGTTTTCCAGAGAAATATATATATAACCACTATTTAAAAAAAAAAAAATGTCTTTTTATTGATTTCAGAAAGAGGAAGAGAAAGGGAGAGAGAGAAATATTGATGAGAGAAACATCAATTGGCTGCCTCCTACACGGGATCAAGCCTGAAACCTGGGTGTGTGCCCTGACCAGGAATCGAACCAGGGCCCTTCCAGTGCATGGGAGATGCTCAACCAACTGAGCACACTGACTGAGCCATAACCACTACTTTTATAAAGGAAGTTACTGGGGAAATAAGGGTTTTCATAGCAACATAAAGCCTTTCTAACAATGTATTAGAAATACATTGTTTCCTTTCACTTGTCTTTTTTTTTTTTTTTTTTTTTTTGGTGCCTCCATGTGATTACCAAACTCCTATTGTAACAGGACAATCCCTAGAAATAAGTCTGTCCTCCATCCCATTTCCATTCCCAACCTCACAATGCTAGCTACAATACTAGTCTGAGATTTATATAAACTAAGTCTACTACAGAGAGTGCTTAGTCATAGTTCACACAATTAATTTCATAAACGGTCTCCCCTTTTGGCCCTTAACATTATGTGTTCAAATGTGATCCCATTTTTTGGAGCTGTCTAACTTTGGATATTTTGACAGTGGTCAATATCAGAGGCTAATTTCAAATGGTCACATCCAGGCATCTCCACGCTGATTTATCTCTGACAGGAGAACGTAACGACGTAGTGCTGATTTTGATGCCGTTCTGGGGCCCAGCCTGACTGTCTCCGGAGCTCTTATAATTCACACACTCTGGCAGGCAGCGTCATCGATCCCGTGGGACTAGTTCTTTAGAATATTAATGGTCCTGTTAAAACTCTGCCCATGGAAGACTGGGTCGAGAAGACCTGTTCATCTGGAGCTCATACATCTGTAGGTAGTCACGCTAACCCAAGCAGGAAACGTCTCACCTAATCTACGCCTTGCCACGATTCTGAGTGTCCGAGGGCGGCTCCTCCCTGAATCTATGTGCAACAGTGCCGAACTTCCTGCTCAAGCAAACCACGCCGTTAACCGATTAATATTTTCTGTTTGGTTTTTTCCATCTACAAGGTAAGCACCCTTGAGTAATGAATTCCTGTCTAAACCGATTATCCTAATACTGCTTCCTGCAAAGTTGACTTTGCACAAAAACACCACCACAGATGACGCTCGGTAGGTTGTTGCACGAATGAATGAAAATGTTGCAGGTTGTTGGAAATAATCGCATCAGTAACCACTGATGATCTGAAGAGTGTGACGCTTTTGCTTCTGTGGTTTAAACTAGGGAATTAAAATTTTAATTATTTTCTATTTTTCTATTGATCTGACTCAAAACCTAATTGGAGTGCTCAGGGTGTGAAAGACACAAAGACAGGCCATTCTGACCACTAGCAGTATACATTCAAGTGGTACTTATAAGAGTTAACTGGAAAAAAAAATTAAAATAAGTTTTAAAGGCATTTCTTTAATTTTTTTTTCATCAAAAACTAGACTACAAAACATGTCAGCAGAAGGCTCTTCTTTATGTGAGTCCAGCTCAGAACCTTGTGTTGCTCATATGACCTAGTGAAAGAATAGATCTGGTCACAATCCCCCTCCAATTATTCTTATAACAGTAGAATTCCAGAACTCTGCCCAGTAGGAGTCCAATGACTTCAGATGAGACAGCTAATCAACTTTCCAAAATTAAGAATGCTCTGATTAAGCTAATTTAATTCAGAACCCCCAGTCCTGCCCTAACACTTGCGGAATTGTCACCGTATGGACGATTTTTGCAAGTTTCCCCAGAGGCGGTGTGTATCCCATTCTGTTTCTAAAAGGCCCAGTCCCAATCTGTTGTACAGCAGAGATTCGTGAGTCAGCTGAGTTAGTTTCCGATGCTTCCACATCCTTTCCTGATACACTGATTTCAGTGTCTCTCCCTCTAATTACCCAACTCTGAAATCAGTGGGCCATAATCAGTTCTTAATTATTTGATCTGCTATGTTTTACCTGACCACAAAAAGTGTCAAGAGCACTTTAACACTTTTTTTTTCTTTATTGATTTTTTAGAGAGAGAAGAAAGGAGAAGGAGGGAGAGAGAGAAACATCAAAGAAAGAGACCGTTGATTGGCGGCCTCCTGCATGCCCCCCACTGGGGATGGAGCCCACAGCCTGGGCATGTGCTCTGACCGGGAATCGAACCAGTGACCTCTTGGTGTAGGGGGCATCGCTAAGCCACACCAGCTGGGTGCAATTTAACACTTTTCACAGCGTTCAGTGATCTGTCCTCAGTCTTCAACTTCACAGATAGGGGCTACTTATAGGCCAGACTGCTTCTATAACCTCAATATTCATTCACAGCTTCCAAGATACCTTCAGAATTCTAATCAAAGCAACGTTAAGGAAATCAAATGGGCCAGAAATGACAAAGACTATTGTCATTTTCAAGGTGTAAAACAAGGGTGGCTTCTTTGGTTACTTTATAAATCTGCACCTGCATCACTTGGCATACCTTTGTGATAGAGCATCTATGCCCTACGTTGACAACAGAATACAAGCATTTAGATGCTCAGTCTGTTCACACCTCACCCATGTCTAGGATTTACTGTGTACTCATCCTAATCAATGGTAAAATCAATATTGTAAGAGTCC